ATCGACGTTAATTAACCCTTTGCACTCGACAATCTATTCGTTACAGAAACATAGTAATTCGACGACTTCTTGCCATAAAGTCGAGGATATTTTCAAAACGGTAACTAAGCAGTGCAAATTAATTGTAAGACATAGAATTATTTTACCTCGATATTCCACGCGTCGTTGGATAATTTTAAATTCGAGATATTAATTAACAATGATCTCTAGAATTTGATTAAATGGTGACTGAGAGTCGCTTCTCGAGTGCAAAGGGTTAATACATCAAATTTAAAATTACCCAACGATGTGTGCAATGTCGAAGAAAAATAATTCTGTGTCTTAATTTCCATATGATTTCTCATTTACCATTTTAAAAATATCGTCGACCCTATGATAGAAAGTCTTCGAATTACTATTTTTCTGTAACGAAAAAGTCGTCGCGTGCAAAGGGTTAACGATCTTGATTTTGATCGTCTCACCCGTGGATCATTTATGTAGACTATTTTCCACGATTTTTGGCTCGCGTTCAGTTTCTATTTAGATTCTATAACCGTAACGGAGTCCAGAGAATCGTGACATCAAAGAGTATTCATCTACCTATCCTATTCTCTGCCAATCTTCGAAAAATTCCCCTTTCCTTGGGCAAACTTCAGCCCCACACGGTCTCCACGTGTCAACCAGCCCCGTTTTCGATCCTCGACGGAAGGACCCCCATTTTTCCCGACATTTAATCCCTTCCAGAAGACTTCCTCCTCTCTCTCTTTCTCTCTGGACAACAGCTTGGCGACTTATTTCCCTTTATTCGCTCTACTCGAACGAGCACGTCCTTCGGGGCCCGTGTCCGAGCAGCCGGTGCACTCGCCGTCACGTCGTCCTGGAAACATACCTGCCAACAATAGCCACTGCTGGAAAGTGTCAACCTCCCTCGTGTTTTACAGCCTTTCCTTGACCTGTTCGTAGCTGCGCCTGTTGGAACGCGCAGGACACCAGGCGTGCATGCACACGCGCTCTGGGGCCCTGTCTGGCGGACCAAGGGGGCAAGAATAGAGGCGAAGGGTCGAGAGCGGGCACACCAGTCCTACCAGTCGTGTCTGGGACGTCCATTCTCAGAAACCTGCCAAGTTAATAGCCGATGTGGCCGAGTAGGAAGTCCGTTGGCCTCGCCGTGTCTGGCGACGCACGGCGGGCCCCGCGATCTCCCTAATCCGCGATCGCTGGATCCTCGTTCGAACCGCGGAGCCTCGCGATTAAACCAGTTTCACGGGCACGGACCTTTAAGACGAAATTACACGCCGGTTCGACTGGTTTTTGCACCGTTTCGCAAATTTCCCCGCGTCTTTCGTGCCTCGTTCTTTGCTCCTGTTACTCCTTTTAGGGAAACGTCCAGTCGAGTCCAGCGTTCCGGTGGAAGAGGGTACAGACACTGGAGGATCGACTCCCTTTGGGAAGAAAATCTGCGAGGATGCCGGAGATCTTTGGAATCGAGGGATTATTCGACGAAGAGACTAGATGAGAGGGATTTCGCGCGAAAAAGAGAAGGAAACGGGATTTCTGCAAGGGTAGAAAGGCGGAGGCGCCAGGGCACAGAGGCCTGGCCAGGTGCAATTATCGTTTCGAGGCGATTCGCGCGACTCGTTCTCTACAACCGGCTGCCCTTATCGGCTGGGACTTATCGAGATTCATAGAAAGATAACGGTGACCTATAATAACGGGCGCGAAGTATCGGTATCGCTATAGAAATCGCGTGGGACCTCGTGATCGCTGGCCGGAATCGAACCTCCAAACGCCTGGTGCCGGTTGCGTAATCCTCGTGAAACACGTCGAACCGTGCCGCGAGCGCGTCAATCGGCGAGGACTTGACCGGGAGAGAGAAAGAGAGGAGAACGGAGACGATCAGGAGAAAAAGAGAAAGAGGGGAAGCGTTACGAAACGGCGTCTACGTTTCCAGGTTTCGCTAATCCATTCGTCGTTCATTCATAAGCCAGCCACAGCCAGCCAATTAAAAACGGCTAGCGTCGTTTGGAGGAGCGAACGGAGAAAGAAATGCGCGATACCGTGGAGCAGGAAGTGGCGGAAACTGGATCTCGTTCGCGGTTAAAGCAGCCGCAAGCAAAAGAATGGCTGCCGCGACTGGCGGGGGTACAAGACAGGACAGGCTGACCGGAGAAAGAATCGAGCGAATGATTTAATTTGTTGCTCGGTTCGCAATCTGTCGCACGCTGTCTCGTTTCGTCGATTGCGACATAAATCTCGCGGGAAAAACGTTTTAACCCAGACCGACAGGTTTCTCCGTCGATCTTTGTCCGAATAAATCCTGTGGCCTTTGACACTTGTTAGCGACGAGTCCTCAGTCTGCCTTTTCGTTAACGCCGATCAGCGTTACGAACGTTCGACGTTCGCTCAATTTTCGGCTCGGCTTTATCGCTCGAAAGAGATAAAACGCGGAGCGCGCAGGTAGAAGAAAGGAGGAGGAAAGGAGCGGAAAGCGCGAGACACAAAGGCGGAGTTGGTGAACGAAACGGAGTTGCTTCGTTATGCAAACGAAGGCGAGATAAAGGAGTCGAGGCGGCGAAGACGTGGAAAATAAAGATGGTGGACGGACGCGACGCCTGTCGCGTCTCATTCAACGGTTATTGTTCCACGAGGAGGCGTGCGTGAATTTCACGCACGCGATGGAATTCTTTTTCGATCGGCGCGCGAGGCCTGATTCATCGACTGGCTCCGGACCGACCGGTACCGTACGGCGTATTTTCAATGAAGCTGGTAGTTCCTGTCGATGACGCGCACCGCGATCGCGTCCATTGCAAACGCGACGCGGTACGAGGTCAGTTGTCACTCTGGGACTGGACGCCTGTCCGAGCAATCCACGATCACGTTGCGATTCTTTGTTCTTCGATTTCGTCGTCGACGTGCTGGCAAACCAGACGACAGCGTCGTTAATTGTCCGAGGGGGGAAAGGAAACACGACGAGTGTATCAATGGGACGAGAAAGTAGAAAAGAGCGGGGGCAGTGTGGCAGTTGATGGAAAATTTATAACGGCAGCTGTTTACTTTCCGCTCGAAAGCGAGCAAGTCGAATGATATCTCTGTCACGTTACCGTGACTTCTCTTACCGATCGTCCCGGTATTTGTAACCCCGTCTAGTAGGAGGGAATAAAATTGAAAAGGAAAGGCGGAGAGATCGGCGGGTAAAAGAGAGAAAAGCCGATCGGCAACGAAAATAATGACAGACTATCCGTTGAAACGCGAGCGTTCTGTCACGCTCCAAAAAGCAGGCGTCAATTACGCCATTTAATTGGGTGCAACAGGTGGCTGTTGACCGAGCTGATGCCAGCAACGTCGGTGGCTGCCCCTTTTTCGAAATAATAAGTTTCCTGGGAACCAGTCGGACGCGCGTACCGAAAACGGAAACGGCCGGTTCCACTCCGGTGCAGAAGCGCGACTCCGCCGAGCGTCTACGCGACCAGTTTTCCTCCTCGCGAGTCCGCCTCTGGCCGCCGCGAACGTCCAGGGGCAATGTTACCGTCTTCCCGGCGACTCGTCCGCGAGCAATGAGTCACTTATCGCAATGCACCAGCGATAAGTCCGTGGAACGGTACGTCATGACGTAACGAGGATGCGTTGTGATCCGCGAACGCCAATTATCGATTCAGTGGAGAGAAAAAGTCCGAGTTACACGCGAAGGAGATATCGTGGCTCGTTTATCAGAGAATTTATGTCCGTGCACTTCCGGCATTCGTGAAATATTAATCGTTCGGGGAACAAATTCGATTTCTTTCGGTTTCTATTTTCCCTCCTTTCCAGAGTTGCAGAGAAATTTCAAACGAGAAGGGGAGACGAGCATCTTCTTACACGATTTTACACGAGCGTGATCCTTCCTTGGATCCAACAGGTTCGCGGAGATCGAGGCTAAAGAGTCTCGAGTCTCGGGAGGGAAAAATTACAGAGTTCTCGCGGCAAGTGGAGCTGCTCGCTTCGTGGCAACCCTTCATTACGAGCGACTAGTTCGTAGTAGTTTTCGTGTTCCTCGTTTGCAAATTCGGAACGATCTCGTCCTTCCTTTTGGTCCGTTCCGAACTGGCGAGCCTCGAGAAGCAGGGAGACGGCAAAATCACGGGGTTCGGCTAAAAACGCGTCAGGAACGATTATCGGGAACACGAGACGCGCTAATGGCGACCTTGTAACTGGCGATTTAAAGAAACTCGCGGAGACAGTAATCGCGTCCTCGATGATAAGGGACGGCGCGCAATCTAAGCGCCATTCGAGCTCGTCGGCGCTGCATTCCGGCCGACCACTCGAATCTGGCTGCATTCCTCGCTAATTAAAACTATCCCGCGCGTTAACGAAGCTTTCGTGTCGCGAGGCACTTAGTCTAAGATCGAGGAGACCAAGGGCGCCAGGAAAGCTAGTTCGACGGTTAATTTCGCGTTGCTAGCAGACGGTCGTACCTCAGATAAGGGTGTACGAACGTTGGCGAAATAAAAAGCCTCGCACCTGCCCTAATACCTCGCGTCGCGTCCGTTTCTGCACTCCTAATCGACGCATGGCTCGTGCAGGGTCTCAATCGACTAACAAATCCCCGACTTTGTCCTTAATTCGATCTGGAAACTTAACCCAACGACGAAAATGGTTCTCGTATCGTAGGTGTCTAAGATCCCGATTACTCCTGATCCTTCTCGGACCCCGAAAACGATAATTCCGTGATTCGTAACCGAGATCGGTGAGAGATCGAATCGATGACACTCGGTTGGACTTGGCTTCGTCTTTCCTAGGCCAGTGTCTCGCGAAACATCGTCGGACAGTTATCGAATGGAGGAACCGTTGCTCCCATAGACACCATCGATTCCAGGCCTCGGTGGAAGAGCTCTGGGAACCAGGGCCGACACCTTCGTGAAAGGTTGGCAGCCGATGGCTCGAATCGAAGCTAACCCGTGGCGTCGTCAGAGCCACGAGTCACGGTGTAAATGAACGACGAGCCCGGAGTCGGAGGAGCTGAAAAATCTCGCGTGTAAACTCACCCAGCACGGAGAGGCTGAGTCCCGAGCCTGGCCTCGGTGATCTGTGCCTGTCTGGGGGCGCCATGGCGTTGCTTGGAGCGGGTGTACGAGGCGCCTTAATCCACTGGTGGACTCGTTTCTTTCATCGTACAGTCACAAACACAGTCACGCGCGAGTTCGTTCCCGAACACACTGCAGAATCCTCTGGATCGACTGGGTGTACACGCGATCTACTCGGGGATCACTCGGTGGTTCGTGTTCTCGATGGCAGGAAACGCGCGAGGATGTCCCTTATTTTCCCAGCAACCTGTCATTTTAGCCCTTCGCTGCGGCCAATCGATGCAACGGGTTAATAGTCGCGACGCGCGCGCACGACAGCGCGACCACGCCAAAAGCAACGAGCGGACTGCTGGACGCGCGAGGACGAGCGTCG